CATCAGGCAATCCGCTTGCCTCCTATTCCATAAAAAAACTTAAGTAAGTAAATAATTTTTGCCATAAAGTGTCAACAGGATTTTCAATCGGAATCTACAGCTTGGAACGAGCAAATAGCTTCACTAAAAGAACTGACCCACAGACTAACACTGTAGGTATCTCTTTAAATTTTGTTTGACGTTCAAAAGTGCCTGTATGGGTCTCATTGAAATAAATTATTTAGACTTTGTCTTTGATTCAAACTGCTAATAATTCAACTTAGGTAATTAAAAAATCTAACGATAAGATTTGCAAATGAAATTCCAAGACCCAAAACAAAAGTACAAGGTACATCCTACGTGATCCCGCTTTAGCTCCCGGTTCGTTTTTCACGCAGCATCTGCCACGGAAGGGTATCGTCTTAACGGTATCTCACAAGTCCCTAGGGAGCTTGTTACACCGCTATAATTATGGGGACACCTATCTGCTTCAATTAGAAAGCACGAGTTATTTGCTTACCCGAAGAGGTGGTGGGTACGGTCTGAATGGAGGTTGGTTTATGGTGTGTGATTACTGATTATGTTAAGGCAAGATTGGAATGTAATTGTAAATTTAAATATTGGAACTGGAAGAGAATCTGATTCTCTTCAGGTATGGATTCTAAGATAACGTTCGCAATAATGATTGCGATTGATAATGAGACATATTTACATGTCTACCTACCAATCATTTTTCAAAATTATTACCATTTACCGATAAGGCTTCGGTCTTGACGAGAAAAACTTTGATGTAAAGGACTATGCGTACTCAGAAATTGTATTCAATATATTGAATAAATTAAAAAATAAAATTGATGGTGAGGACGCCTGTATTTTCCGGTGGATACATGCTTACATAAACACAGTAAAGTATTATGAATTAAAGAGAAATTACACAAATAAAAACGTTGACAATACAATGAACAAGAGATATAGTCTTGTTGAAACAATATATACTGATACTAATATCACTACAAAGTGTAAAACACAGTTGCTTTCTCTATCCCAATGTCCCTAAATTCTTTAAAACTACGCAACGGATTTTGATGCAGGGTTTTTAATAGATGGAGCGATTGAAGACTATGAAAGTTTATACGTGTAATAATATCAATTAAGTTTATACGTGTAATGATACAAAATAAAATTATTTTCTTTCTTCTATCTTTCTTTCTTTCTTTCTTCAATTAAATAGTGGAGAAATTTAGAAACATTGCACGCGTGCGAAGCCCGCTGGGTTGCTCGTTAAAAATAAAAGAGCTTTTACCAAATTGCTTGCCAATTTTGTATAACCACAACAAATAATCCAAACATCTCACCGTCCCTTCCGATGTCACAATCTTAGCCAAGTAAGAGCAATTCCTTATCCTTCGTTACCCATTCCTTCCTCCATCAGCCAGATAAGGGGTTACAAATGGGTTAAAATCTTGGGTTCGTTTCGGTTAGGGGTGGGTTTGCTTAAGTTATGGCCCCCAACCCGCCGACAGGGGCGGCAATTGCTTTGTCAACGGGTTAATTTAAGAAATACTTCTTTTTGTTCCGTCTTGTCTTGATAAAGGAGTTCATAAATTCATTATTCTTTCTGTTGCTTTTGCGTTTTGCAGGGATTCTCGTCTGTTTGATTAACGCTTTAAAAATGTAGTAAACTATATAGTAGGTAAGGGTTCAAAATTAGTAGTGTCAGTATTGGGTTGTATTTATTTATAAAAATAGACGTAACTAATGAAAAATATATTGAGAATAATTATTAAGAACAATTGCATTCATCAATCAAATCTTTTATTTACGTTTTAAATTTGAGCATACTATTTTAAATACAACAGTATCTAATCTGAGCTACTGGTGGTCATGATCACCAGTACTTTGGTTATAGAAAACTAGCTTATACACGCGACCTATGTGCTATTCCGGAGTGTATCCTATGCCTGTGCCAAATTTCATTTAGATCTGTCCACCCGTTCTGGCATGATTGAGTAACAAACATCCAAACATCGTAACTTTCGCATTTATAATATTAAGAGTAGTAGGAAGTAAGACTTCTTTGTCTGAATACTCAGGGCGTACTATTTAATACTTCCTTCCATCCTAAAGAATTTAATTTGAAGACTCTGAACAAGGTAATCCGTAGCATTTAATCAATAAACCATTGATATGCTTTTTTTCTTTTTAACAGAAATATAACTCTTTATAAGCAGGAAACAAGAAACAATGTCCTATATAACAAATGTTGATCATTGAAACATCACCACTTAAAGTACCTATACATATACCACGACGGAAATAATTTATAAAATTCTAAATATTATTCTACACATCCGATTCAAAAAAAGAAGCCAGATAAATTTGTCATACTTTTATACATCGGATCCGTACTAGTACTTTATCAGGAGGATTAGCGTTGGACATTATAATCCTGGGGTCCGAAGTCCGTTTTGAGGTCCAGCCTATAAATCAGGCCTGAACTTGGAGCCCTGAAGTATTATGTTTATTTCATTGGTACCCATTAATCTCTAAGTATTAAACATTTCAATTAATAAAGGATTGATTCGAGGGGTTTTAGGCGATTGTTTTGAATGTAATATTTTGTTTGTGTAGCTAAAATGTTGTTGTATGGGCGTTATTTTTTTTTATTTCTTTGTAAGTATTTATTTTATTTTATTACATACGGAAAATAAGATTTATACAGCAGAAGAATGTTGCCAGTAGAGCGACTAAGTCGAAAAAAAATGATTTTTACTTTGAAGCTCATTTTGCCATATGGCTGAATTGCATCTAATGTCTTAAACATTTGACCTTCCATAATTAGAAGGCCCACTCACAGATTTATTGGAATTACCCAAAGTTATACACAGATGTCTTCTAATAACCTTTTAGAGGTCACCTATAAATTAAATAGGAACACTGGTAATTTGTCCCATAATCCCTGTCAATCGGGGATTATCCGGACAATTGGTAGTAAACGTGGTAATCCCACAACACTGCACCAATTTACCGGATTCTAATATTTATTGGGGTGTGGTCACCCTATATCGTTGGTCTTCGAGATTACAATATATTATTTGACCTTGAAGTTCTAACTGATTAGTTGTTTTGTTCCCTTTTTGGGGGGTTAATTAAGAAGTGATATGAGCCATGTGTTGGCACTGGAAAAGTTTCGGTATGTAAAGTAAGTAGATAAAGTGCCTGTTGCTTGTCGTATTTTTTTTCAAATTATATTATCTGAAATGTGTTTTAGACGCGGCTGCGCTAGCGTGTTATTGGCAAAAAGCAGCCTACATGTTAATCAAGGATATCAGATAACTACATACCAAATTTTAACCAAATCGGTACAGCCGTTTTTGCGTGAAAGAATAACAAATAAACATCAATACATTCTCACAAACTTTCACATTAATAATATCAGTAGGATTATCAGTATAGGATTATATTAGATAAAATTGTGTTTTATATACAGCTACCGATCCGACCCGAATTCGCACGGTTACATACATATCTTTCTCTTCAATCACTCTATCTATTCAAAAAACCCGCATCAAAATACAGCGACTGAGAAAGCGACTTTGTTTTATACTATTGAGTGATTTAAATAACAAAATCCCGATTGGATCGAGGCTAACATCAATCTGTTCAAAATGAAATTCTAATTATTTCACTGAGATTTTTATGGTCGAATAATTATCGAACTTATTTAAACTTACTAGTACTTAACTACTAGGCACTAAATGTTAAGGGAAAAGTAGTCTTAAAATATTAAAGTTTAGGACATTTTTTGTTTCTTCACTGAAGTCTCAAAATTTTGTAATGGAAAAGAACTGGGTAACAAGTTCATAAATATTTTTTGTTAGGTACACAACTTTGGAGAACACTTTAAAAGTTTTTAAAAAGTTCTTCTTAGTAAAAAGTTCGTATTGACGTCGGCGTCGAAAGAAAGAGAGCATAGCGTTTGTTGGTTATTTTACGGGTAGTCGCAAGAAAAAGAAAACTTAGTTACATGCATGACATATTAATATATAAATTACAAACTTTAGTTTATATCATTAATAGTACAAAACAAGGTAGCTCTCTCTGTCCCTATATACCTATGTATGCTTACCTAAATCTTTAAAATTCCTCAACGGATTTTGATGCGGTTTGTTTTAATAGACAGAGTGATCGAAGAAAAAAGTAAAACGTCCGAAGGGGTGGCTCGGTAATATATTTATATCACAAACTTGAATTCGTTTATGAATTATGTATATTTAAAGGCAGAAGAGTATAAAAGAGCAAAAACACGTCAAACTACACGCAAAGCAATTGCTTGATCAAAACGTCGGTTTTTTTGTCAATTCAAAATCTATGTTTACGATGCGATAGACTTTGTCTTTTGGCTTGGAATGTGTTTTTAGAATACAGTCATTTACCATTAATGATTTTACGAACCGAGCGTATTATTTCTAAACGCCTACCACAAAAGTCCGACACATAATTCGCAAAGTGGCTACTGGGTTGGTCTAATGACAGATTAGCAGCGGTGCCGGCCACCTGAGCTGGGCAAAATATGCAATAATTCAGGATCCCCCCTAATTCACCCGGATCGAGCCAATAAATTCGTCACTGTGATTAGTGTGGTACTCACTGGAATTATGTGGAGTGGGGTACTCTTCTAGTTATGAAGTGAGTCCGTTTGTTTTAGGTGGAATTATTGATAGGAAGCGTAATGTAAATAGAATGTTTATTCTAAATTAATTTGTTTTTGGCAAACGTAAAGCAATATTTATTGTAGCAAGTCCTGTACTGTTGGAGCATGTAAAAAGTTCTTATACATATTATGCCAATTATATTTGTGAAATATTGTCTAATGTAACGGGAAAAGAGACAAAAATTATACTTAAATACAAATATATTAATAACGTTATCAAATCAATTACAACAATAATCGTACAGCTAAAATTATTTTAATATCAATTACGATTAAACTAATTCCCATCTGATGGAACTTGGAGTCATCAAAACGTGTCATTTAATCTGTCATTCGATCTGGGACATCCGCACTGGGCCAGCGCTATGTCATCAAGCGTTTTCTTCTTAAGCTGAGGAATAAGGCTCTTTTGTTTCTCAGGTGGATCTGATTCTTTCCTATTATGAAAAGGTTGCACATTACCGGCGCGTTTAGGTATCTTACTTGGTTTAAACGACGAATAATGCGGTTTGCCCATATCCACACAAATCTCTGTCGTAGGCCTATCTATAGTAATCTCCAAGTAAGGCGATTTTCCAGTTTTCACTTCAACTTTGTTTTTACTTTTTGCTCTGTCTTTTGCAGGCGTCTTTTCTTTCATGACTTGAAAGCGAGTCGTCTTTCTTGGTACAGGTTTGTTTGAAACACTGCTTGATTTCACTTCGCGACAAGTTGTTGAGGTCGATTGTGAATCGCAGTTTTCAACGCAATCCTTACAAGGGCAAGGATTTTTATGAAGCTGGCTTGGTACCGTGTCTCGAGACTCTACTAATTGGGTGTTGTAGTCTGCATATTCCGAAGCTTTGCTTTCCAAAGTCTCATATCTAACTTCATTGACAAGGTTCGTACCTTCATTCATCTTACTATTGTCTTTCTTATCTTTAGTTCTTAAATAAAAGCTGTTCTGTCGTGCTTTCCGATTTTCAAATGAATGAATGCTGCTGTTTCGCTCTTTTCGATTTTCTGTCTTTTTAATACAGCTATTCTCTCGCTCCCTTCGGTTTTCAATCTTATCACAGCTGTTATCGTCTTGCCACTTGTGACCTGGTCGTGCACAGTAGCGCTCGCGTGCTAATGGGTCATCTGTCTTACGGGAACAACTAAATCCTCGTAATTCTCTTTCATCTGTCTTACTATTACAACAGCTACTTTTTTGTGCTACTCTGTCCACTATTGTGCTACAACAGTTACCTTCGTAACCTCCACGGCCGCCTGTGTTATTACAGCAGCCACCGTCTCGTACTGCTTGGTCAGTATGGCAAGAATGACTACCTTTTTGGGCGATGGGGTCATCGATATTATTAGAATGGACACTAGCTCGGACACCTCCGCTGACAGTCATATACGAGTTACTATCTTGCACGATTCGATCCTCTGATTTTCTAAATTCGTTGTATATTTCAGAGCCTGAAAATAAGTTTGTAAGACTATCAGATTTTTTGTTGCCATCAATACCTTCTTTGCTATCTCTATGCGCTTCAAACGGTCGACAATTATCGATATCTCTATAGTTTTCTAGATTTTTATGTTCATTATTTTCTTTGTAGTTGGTATGCTCTCTTGGTTTATCATATTTCTCGAAATCCTCATGTCTTCTGATGTTAAATTTATTGGCTTCATCATAATTTCTCACGTCATTATGATTTTTAGCGTCGTAGTTTATTTCATTGTTATTTTTAACCTCATCATATTTCATCGTCTCATCATATTTTCTCAATTCATCATATTTTACAGTCCCCTCGTGAATCTTATATTCCTCAAGATGTCTAACTTCTTCAAGGTTTTGGTCTTCACTAAAGGGTTTAGAATCATCTGGCATTTGTTTCCGAAACTTTTCAAGTTCTCTTTGTTCATCATTTGGTTCTTTGATGCGTTCCTCAATACTCCTGCATTCTTCAAGTTTTTCTAGCATTCCACCCTCTACTAGTTTACAGTTGTCCTGTTTTTCCATCATCCTACATTCTTCGGCTCTTCTGCGATTTTTTACCATTCGGGCCTCGTCTGTGCTTCTGTGGTCTTCAAGTTTTCTATATTGATTCAATTGTTGACACTCTTCTGCCTTTGTCTGTTCTTTTATTTTATTTAATTCTCCTGCGTTTTTATTTTCTTGAGCTCTTCTACGTTCTTCTTGTTTTTTATATTCTTCTATCCTTCGCCGTTCTTCAAGTTTCCTATATTCTTCTGCCTTCTGACGTTCCTCTATTTTTTTTAATTCTTCGGCCTTTCTACGGTCTTCCGCCATCTTGAGTTCTTCTGCCTTACGGCGCTCTTCTAATTTCTTACATTCTTCTATACGTTTACGCTCTTCTAGTTTTCTGCGTTCCTCGGCTTTTTTTAGCTCTTCTATTCTCTTGCATTCTTCTGCCTTCCGAAGTTCTTCAAGTCTCTTATATTCTTCTGCTCTTCTGCGTTCTTCTTGTTTCCTATATTCTTCTGCCCTTTTACGCTCTTCTATTTTTTTACGTTCCTCTAATTGTTTACATTCTTCAGCTCTTCTACGTTCCTCTAGTTTTTTTAATTCTTCTGCCCTACGCCGTTCTTCAAGTTTCTTATATTCTTCTGCTTTTCTCAGTTCTTCGAATCTTCTTTGTTCTTCATGTAACCGACTGCTACTTACTTCACAAGGAATCCGACAACAATCCTCTGATTTTCTACGATCATCACATCTTCTATAATCAAATTTTCCTTGTTTTTTTCTATTTCTGTGGTCTGATGCACTGCCTCCTCGTAAATTTTTTGGCGCATTTTGCACAGTTGAGAAACTGGTTCCACTTTGAGTAGGTTTCGAACTACAGCTGAAGCCCTGATCCTGACTTGATAGAGCCAACAGTTGCATAGAATTACGTTGATCTGAATACACATTTAGATTTGGCTTTTTTAGCGACGATTTTTTTATGATAACGTCAGTCTGCTTGGGAACTTCGCTAGTCATCTTGTATGCTACAGGAGACGATGGAACACAACACACATTGGATCCGATTCCAACCGTTTTGACAATTTTTGATGTGGGCATTTGTCCTTCACCTTCCACGTCAGTCAAATGAGATCTACGAAATAATTTTATTTCCGGTTTATTATCGGAAGTCGTGTCATAGGAATTGACTTCTGGTAATGTGCAAGTATCCTCAACTAAGTAACTTGTCTTACCTTTGAAGACTCCTTTACCCTTTTTGTCCATCTTATTATTATCTATAAAGAGATACACGTTACTTGTACGATCTTTTTTTTTAATTTTTCTAGCACATAATATGTATATTAAAGCTGGTATGCACCAGGCCACTTCTATAAGTAGTATTAAACATATTATCCACATCTTTTTACATGAGAAATCGATTAAAGGGTGTGAAGGGGGTTTTTTACATACGTTGAATCTATTACCGTATAAGTCAATGACGTTATTGCACAGATCTCGTGTTTTGTTTACTAATGTGAGCACACTTCCCAGTGCCAGATACAAATTTTCGTCTTTTAAGTGTGGTACAACTTCATTAGCCAGCCAATCTTGAAACTTTTCATCGAATTTCTCTTGTTCCTTAGGATTACTGGATTGTATACAATTCTTTGCTGCATCGTAGTATTTAATCAGATTTTGTGAAGAATTTGGAGTATTCATTCTTATCAAAGATGAATTCTTCAAAGGTATAAACATTGTACTAGATCTATCATTCCAATTCACATTAGGAATGGGTATACCCAATCCTGTTTCAGTCTTTTCAAAGTAAGCTAAATTATCACAGGGATCTTTCATGCTTCTAGTGTTTGTTACTATCTTCAATGGAGCAACATTGATGGTCATAGAGTTGAGAACCTTTTCATCAGGCTCGCGCCATCCGACACCATCAGTCTCTAAGTATCTTTTTAACTCATCGTAGAGCTGAAAAAGCTTGACAATGTTATCTTGGGATACCGTGCCTCCATAGTAGTCGAGTTTTGCTACTGGTAGCACCCAAACTTTAAGGTAGCCGCCTATTGCATCAGAAAGTGCCGTGGTCATAATGGCATCAGTTTCGCGGTCAGGAGCTTCTCTTCTGATAGCATGGTAGGCATCTCTGAAGTATCCGATTAATATGTTGACATAGTCTTCGTTGAAGTTGTTGATGAAAACTGGTGGTGGGAGAAGAGTTTGAAAGTACCTTCTGGCCCTTAGTAATGCTATTTCACTTTTGCTCCACTGTTTCTTATGAAGGTCTTTGGCAGTGAACAATACCGTTCCTACGTTTGGTGCGAAGTCTCGCTGCTCTAGAGCAATGACTGCACACATTGCCGTAAGTATGAAAGTGCACGTGTAAATTGAAATCATATTTGTAAATCGATTACAAAATAATAAATTACTATAAAATATACACCAAACGCGATGACATCCTTATTTCGTAAACTTTGACAGCTTTCAATTTGATTAATTGTGATTAAAGATGTTTTTTTTTCAAAGAAGTTATATAGTTTACATGCAAGAGTTTCTCAGTTATAGTTTTTATATTTTTTGAAATAATAAGTGATGACCCGAACAAATGGGAAATATTGAATAAATTGAAACCGCGAATGTAAATTATCTTTTTGGTCTCATCACATAAGGTCCAAAATCAAATATGTCGTCCTATTTACATATTACCACCGACATCCGCAAAGATATCGTAACATGTCTATGTTCTTTTACATCCAGGTGTGTCAGTAATAAATCTCCTGAGCGATACCGTTGGGTGTACCGACAAAGGGGGGATGCGACGAGACCGCCAAGTTAAATTGTTTAATTAAAACCAGTATCAAATTAGAGGATTACACATATGTGTGGTGGGGTAACCGCGTCTTTTGGGGATAATGACATCGGCGGAGAATTGATTCCGGGAGAAATTTGAAATTCAAGTTTGTGTGCAGAATTTTAATTTGATCTGAAGAAGTTAATAATTGTCAGTGAGTTGCGTTGTGTCGGACAAAACATTAATATTATGTACTTTTATTAGATCCTTATGCAAACATTTTTGGAATATTTTTGTATTGGATTCCGGTATTTAGGTTCAAGTTCAGCTTATGAGGTGTCAAGGACAAAAAGGTACCACGGCCTCGGCCTGCAGCAGGAAACGGGGTTTTTTTAGTAAGTCTGCTGATAGTTGAGATGTCATTTGATGATTTTCGCTCCTCGAAAAAAGTTAATTTAATTGAAAACAAAAAATGTAATCCATCATCTTGAGCTCCATGTCCTATGGTTATGGTTTTAAAATTACTTAGCCAGATAACAATTTTTTTGAGCGGGACCGTCATCGAATGACTTCTCCCGTCCTAGATGGGGCAAGAGGCAGTGTCTGACTCTTACTGAATAAAAACCACTTCGTTCCTTCTCCTGCTCTGAGCCTTGGCGCTGGTACAATGTTGCACTTGCAACCACAGTCCTGCTAAAACATGTAAGTTAAAAAGTAAATAAAAAAAGGTTGAAATATTTTTGACTTAGGCGTGAAGAAATACCCCAAGGTGATTTAAAAAACATGGTCTCTCAACTCGAGGAACTTTTTAATTTGACACATTAAACAAAATACCCTCATTCCACAATTAAAGATACTAATTAGAAATTCGCGTGGTGGACTCGCATGTTCAATTATTGTTGTTATTTTAATTAATAGATAAATTAACATATTAAGTCTGGTCCTGGGTGGCGTGACTACAGTCTCTGTTAGTGACAATTTTAATTACTGTTATTGTGATAAATTACACTGTTTTTTTATTTGCGTTGGTACTCTATGTTTTCGTAAATGCTACTATGAAATGGGTGTTTCTTTCACTACGATACAACTTAATGTCTGTTTGTTAATATATGAATTGGCACGTGGGTCACGGGTGACCTACGGTAGCTAAGAATTCACCTTTATTAGTTTCTTTTAGGCGGTCAAAGGCTTAAAATAGTCTAACTACATAATGTAAATGTTCGAGTTCATACCTAATATTATAATCGCGAAAACGTGTATGGATGGATGAATGGATCTTTTTTAAAAAATGATTCAATATATCTAAATGAAAGATGGTACAGAGATAGATTATAATTTGCAATAACACATAGGCTTTTTACATGCGTTTAACAAAAGGAATTTCAAGCCATGAATATATATATCTGTTATATAAAAATAATGATTTCTTGAAATTTAAAACTATTTATTTCTCCTCTACTTTTCTATCATTCACCTGACTATACCAAACACAACTCAAAATAATTAGCAAAATTGGTCTAGGCGTTGATGAAATATGGGCTTACTAATATATTTTGCGATTCATTTTGATATTATAGACACAAATATTTAAACTGTATTTACATTATAGCTAACTACATATAACTAACATATGCTAACATACCATAGTAATTGATTACAAGTTGATTACGTATCAGTAATCAAAGTGCTGTGATAACCCTTCAATGTTCTCTATAACGTGTGCCAAGCCTTAATGACGCGTGTAACTGAATATCCTTGTGGATAATATGGATACTAAGGGTGCGTACAAAGAGGACTTGTAGGGTTGCGATTAAAAGTCGCAGCGATTTGTAAATGTATTTTCTTAAAGTTTTGCTGTTACTGTTTTATTTTTCTTACCGTTGTCTTGTCATTATGGTTTTAAGTATTTGATTTACTGAAGTTGTTTTTTTGGATTGGGTGACAGGCTTTTTCTCAAAGTTTGATGAACTTACAATCAGGTTCTTATGAGTAAGTCAAGGCCAGGATGTTTTTTTTTTTGATGGTGCAATATCATTAGTTGTCTGTTTATCACCTAGGGTGAACCAAGAGGGAGTGTCAGACTCATATTGAGTAAAAATCACTCGTTCCTTCTCCTGCACCAGGCCGAGGCTGCCAAAAATGCCGACTGCACGGGTGGTGCGGTGGCTGGGCAACTGGCTGCCGTACAACCTGTCGGGGGTTCGATTCCCGCACAGAACAGCTCTTTGTGTGATTTACAAATTGTTGTTCCGGGTCTGGGTGTCATGTGTATGTGAAATTGTATATTTGTAACTGCACCCACGACATAGGAGAAAATCTTAATGTGGGGCTTTGTTTAAAAAAAGCAAACTCCTAATTCCTAATCTCCAAAAGGTCGGCAACGCTTGTAATTTCTCCATTATTGCCGGTGTCAATAAGCGGCGCTGATTGCTAACTATCAGGAAATAAGCGAGCTCGATTGGAGACTTATTTTATAAAAAAAATATATGCGCCTACTTTAAGTATTATCCATATCTATTTTATAAAAAATGAATCAATAATCATTATTATAAAACTGTTAATGTTGCGTTTATTCATTTACATTTAGTCGCACAAGTCGCATTAAAATATAGCACACATAAACGCACCCTTACGGACCGGTATCGACAGCATCAATCAAACATTATCGCGCCGTTGTTCGGAGAGCCACCAATTAATACACGGCAGCCGACGGTACGATACTGGGTACAAACGACCCATGCTATGATCTGATGTTTCGCATTAAGTTGATTTTAATTGCGTCGTGTATGTTCCTGTTATGTTCAATATTATCTTGATAAATTTGTCTGTTTATTGTGGTAGGAAGTTGGGGTTGTCCAGATTATCAATTTAGCAGTCCATTTTTACTCCTTTGAAACGTATAAGTAGGTAGATAGTCAGTGTTTTTGATTCTCTTTGAATAATTTGGCAGCCGTGTTGCCAAAAAACAATATAATTTCACATTCAGTTAGTCAGTTGTGTTCGACGTCGTGACACCCGCTTCTCATGATGGAAGCGGGTTCGAAACCTGGTAAGTACCAATGTGACTTTTTTCGAGTTATATGTACTTTTTATGATTATTTGGACACCACTGACATACGGTGAAGGAAATCATCGTGAGGAAACCTGGACTTATAAGTTCTAATTATAAGTTTGAAATCGCCAATCCGCCTTGAGCAAGCTTGGTGATTAATACTTAAACCTTCTACTTGTGAGAAGAGGCCTTTGCGCAGCAGTGGGCACTTATAGGCTGATGAGGTGATGATTATGCGTGCGGTTTTTTCAATTAATAAAAAAAATATTATTAAAAAAACAAAATACCCGACTGCACACTAAAAAAAGAGTAAAACAAGCCCCACAATACAAATTTACTGAATATAATTTATAAATGTTGATGGAAAGCATCGCAGGCGGGGACCAACAGAGGCTTATTTATAGTCATTTCTGTTGTGCACCATTTAGCAGAATTTTCGTTGGTGGCGGTCAAGGTGGTCCCCGCCTGCGATGCTTTCCATCAACATTTATAAATTATATTCAGTAAATTTGTATTGTGGGGCTTGTTTTACTCTTTTTTTAGTGTGCAGTCGGGTATTTTGTTTTTTTAATAATAATAATATAAATAAATTTATATAAATAAATTTTTTTATTTATAACTTTTTCCCGTGGGAATTTTGAGAAAAAACGTATCCTATATTAATTACTCCCGTGATTGAAATGAATCTAATGATACCGCATACATATTTTTTTAAAGGGAAATTTAGAAAAAATATTATTATGTCCTTATCCCGTGGGACTTTTAGGATAAAATGTATCCTATGACACTTCCGTAATCAAGACAAATCTAACGATACCTCGTACATCAAAATCCATCAAGCCGTTTAGGCTACAGGAGGTCACAAAGGAAAAGACATACATACATACTTACATACACCCGAAAAACATTACCCTCCTTCTTTGGCAGTCGGGTAAAAACACGGACCGAAATATTTTAATAAAAAAAATTAGCTATTTAATATTTGGAGTATATGAAGTTATAAGAAAACATGACGCGTATAATAATTTTATTGGACTGCCTAAACACTCTACAATACGCACACGCCATTCCATTGCTACAAATATGTTGGGACTTATTTGTCAAGCATCGTGTAAGGCAGTCACTAATTAATACACGGCGGGGAAGGGTTAGCTGTCATAATTACACTGTATGTCTGTCTGTCAGTTTATAGCTGTCATTTTGAATTGAACCGTTTAACGACATTACAATTTGTATAAGAAAGGGGATAAAGTTTTTACTAATTTCGTCAGATAGCCTTTTACTTGTATTTATATGTATTGTTCAAGCTGGTACGGCAAACTTCGTATCGCTTCAAATATAAGTAATATTTTTTTTTGTGTACTTTTATACCTTCCCTCTATATTCAGGACTATTTCAATACCACAATAAGCCATGTCGGTCCAGCCTTTGTTACGTTTAAGCGAGACTAACGAACTGATGAATGCTTAGCTGAATTACTTCACACAATATCCATAAAAATGTGTCTTCACTATT